CTGTGGGGGGCACATGGGGGGACACCCCTCCCTGCGCCACTTCCCAGCCCAGACTTCCGGTTGCAGCCAGGGGTCAGCATGTGTCAGCGACCCTGCTTAGGGCTCCCCTGTGGCCTCTCGAGCCTCAGAGGGTTCCCACGTGGGGGGCACCATGTCCCCTGTCCCAGTGATGTCCCCACTGAGGACTTGGGACAGGCAGACTGGGGTGAGCTGCCTGCGGTCCCCATTTCCAGCCCTGAGCCAAGGGCAAAGTGAGGAGGGAGGCTCTGCTCCCCCTCCAGGGAGCGGGGGACCTGCATCACTCATTCATTCATTCATTCATTCATTCATTCATTCATTCATCAAGTCTTTGCAACTCTCATCAGCTTAGTTTGGAAGCCGTCACGTCAGGCCTGCAGTGGAAAGGCGGGCTGGCTGCCCCCTGCCTGCCCGTGTGGACCCCGCAGGCCTCGAGGGGCCCGCGCCCCACGACCAGCCCAGCCCTGTCCCCGCTGTCAGGAGGCCAGCGCTGCCCTGAGAGCCAAAGGTGGGCGTCTGCTGCCCCCTGGTGTCCAGAGCCGGTGCAGCAGCCCGCGAGGATGCCGGAGCTCCGCCCACCCGGAGGCCACGCCCCCCGCGGAGGCTCACTGTCGCTCCGCCCATGTCCCGGTCACGCCCACCAGTAGCTATAGCGTTCCGCCTATTCTTAGGCCACGCCCACACCCTCGTCGCCACTCCCACTCCTGGGCCACGCCCACCTCAGTAGCCCCTAGTCCTACTGCCGGAGCCTTCCCGCCTCACACCTGTTGGAACTCACTCAAGGTCCTGTCTCCGCACCTCCAACTCCCCCAAATCTAAGCAATGTCCAACAGTGTAGACTCTCGGGACCTAGGGGTGGCAGACGTCATTGGCAAAAGGCACTGGCGGCTTTGAGGGGGCTGTCACCCACACCTTAGTGGGAATTAGAACTCTGCCATCACCTCGGACCCCAGAGGTGGGGTGGGTCTGGAGGGGCTGTCAGGGGGCCAAAAGTATACAGACGAGGGGCCATTCTGACGGCCGAAGTGGGGCCCCCTCGAACACCCCGCCCTCCTGGCCCCACCCCCTCCTTCCTCCTCAACCCAGCTCCACCTCTTCTCTTTCCTGCCCTTCCTGCCCTGCCCCACCCCCGTCCTGGGCCTTTCCTGCCCTTTCCGAGCTGCCACTAGCACCGGCCCTCCCCCCAGCACCACGGCTGGCCAGCCCCCCAGCACCACTGCCTGCCAGCCCCCCAGCACCACGGCTGGCCAGGCCCCCAGCACCACTGCTTGCGGGGCAGGTTGGCCATGTGCAGACACTCACCCCTTGGGCTATGAAACCCCAGTGTTGTAACCATTTCTCCACAAGGACCCTGGTCATAGTGACAACTTGGCTGGGGGCCAGGGGCCACCTACATAGCCACCCAGATAGTTCTGTTAGGTGAGGAAGGGGGCAGACAGGACACAGGCGTGAAGAGGCCTCTGAGACTCCATGTCACACCCCCAGCTGGCCCTGCAGTCACAGAACCCCTGCGGTCACCCTCAGGGACCAATCAAGCGACGCCTGAAGAGACAAGGGGGCTGGGGTCCCAGGCTGGGGGTGCTGGGCCAGGGTCCTGTGTGAGGGTGACACATGATGGTGACCCAGGCTGCAGGTCAGGAGGGGCTACACCAGTGACTCTGAGGGGCCATGTATGTGGGGGTGGGGAGAGGCAGAACACAAGAGTTGGGAAGGTGGGTCCAGGTGCCCCCCCCCATGGACAGGAGAGGGGAAGAAGAGTGGCCCAGGATCCTTAGAGGCCACTGGCCCTTCTAGCCTTAGATAGGCCCACTGCCCGGCAGAGGAGCGTCTTCCTGGCTGTGTGCCTTTGGGGGTGTGACCCAGCCTCTCTGTGCTCTCTTCTTACCTGGGCAGTTCCCAAGGAGACTTGGCAGCCCGGTCTGCAGGCCAGGTGTGCAGCCCAGGCGGCCCTCATCAGCAGCAACCCCTCCAGCCTCCATTGCCACCAGGCACAGACCCACAGCCTCCATCCACTCCAACTCACTCTGCCTGGGTACTGGCGGGGTGGGGGGACGCGAGCAGCCCCAGCAGTGTGCAGCGGCCTCATGAACTATCGGGGAGATGGAGTTTAGGGGACGAGGATAAGCCCCCTGTGGAGTGCGGCAGCATGGCTCTTTCCAGCCCACCTGCATGGCACAGCAACAGCACGCCTTGGGTAGCCCAGCTGGACGCAGTCGGTCCCCTTTCTGCCAGCGAGCAGTTGCCCACCCCTCTGTGAGTGGACTATCTCCCCCTCACCACCAGCTCATTTTTGGCCCATTTTACAGACAGGAACACTGTGGCTAGGTGAAGGCCCCCACAAGCAGGGAAGATACCAGCCCAGCAGGTCCCACATGACTGGGAGACAGGCCTCCCTGCAGGCTTGGCCCCAGCTGCCCCTCCCTCATACATTTGGACTGATACCCAGGCATTACCTGAGCCTGGATATGGACCCGGAGCCAGGTGGGCATTAAGGACTCTGTCTGGGTAGTGGGCTGGCCACCTGTGGGTAGCACCTTGACCTTGAGCAGACTTCCCTCATCTGACCGTCGATGGTCCTCTCCCAGCATCACCAAGCCTGAGGTACCCGGGGTGGAGGCCTCCCAGGGCTGCTTGACCAGCTCATTGCCCCAGAATCCTCAGCTCAGCCATGGAACTGCCATGCTGATGCCACGCTCCTGAACCCCATACCAGGCTCAGAGCTGGGGGAGTGCCTAACAGGTTACCCCCAGAACATCCCACCAGGCAAGCCCCTCCTGGGCATCGGCAGGCCTGAGTATGCTCTAGGGGCCACGGACAGAGGCCTGGGGAGCTCCAGAGCTTGCTCCTGGCTACTTGTGGAGCCTGCCACTCCAGGCACCCAGGCCGGCTAACCAGAGGAAGTGAGTGCTTCTTCCTTCCTGTGGGTCTGAGGACTGGGGAGGCCCAGGCACCCAGGTCGCCATGTGGGCCAGTGGCCCCTGCAGGCCTGCTGTCCAAAATCTGCAGGCCAGGTGAGAAAACGGTGGGTGCAGGCAGGACCCCCACCCCTTTTAGCCCCTGCCTAAACTCCAGAGGCTCTCCGAGGGGGTTCCAGAGACGGCTCCAAACTCTGCCATAACTCAGGAGACCCTCACCCACCGAGCAGGGCGTTCTGCACCCTAAACTCACACCGGAAATCCGATGGGCAGAGCACCAGAGCAGAGGCACCTCACACCCCCAGCTGCCGCCCCGTTCCTCATCCAGGCTGAGACAGGAGCCCACGGCCCCCTGGCCCCTATCCCCACAGAAGCGGCTTCTAGAACCCAGGACAGATTAGGGCCCTGCTGGTCCCCAAGGCTCCTGTTTACTGCCTGCACACATATGCACGTACATAGATACACGTGTGCATGCACGTACACACATGTACACCCACGTGCACATGCACACACACACACACACATGTACGTGCGGGTACACACACGTACAACAATGCAAGCTGCCCAGGACAGGAGTCGTGCAGCAGTTCTCACTGAGCGTCCCTGCACCTGCACACAGGAAGCTCAGTAAATGAGAAAGCCCCCCCCCCTTTCACAATCATCCCCATTCCAGCTCCCTCTGCGCCGGGGGTGCTGCCCAGTGGACTGGGGGGAATAGCCCAGAACATCTATAGAGAGGCTGAGGGAGGGCTTGACCTCACAGCCCGTAACTGGTCTAGGGAGGAAGGGGGCCCGGGGTTCAGAGGCCCAGAGCTCCTCTCTGTTTTCCCCCCAAAGCGTGGTTTTCCCACGCTTCCTCCGACCAAGAGGAAGCCTGGTTTTGCCCCTCCCTCCTCCGATCCGCAGCAGAGACTTGGGTTTCTGATCCAACCAGTTCACCGAGCTGGGCCACCAGGAAGCAAGGGGGCAGTGAGTACCCCTTCCTCACCCGATGCAATGTGCCCCAGGCCCTCCACCCTCTGCTCCTCACTCTGCACCCCCTGACCCCAGAGGAGGCAGGTCTGTGGCCTGGCCGACCCTAGGGTCAGGGGGGTGGCAGGGCTGGGTGAGCGCAGACCCTAGGGCCAGGAAGCCCCGGAGCTCTGCTCCCCACCCCCCACAGCCCTGATACTAAAACCTAAGGGTGCTGTCTCCGCTCTCCTGGTTCTCCTCTGCCCAGGCCAGGGCCCTGGGTAACCCCTCTCCTGGGCTCGGGACGCAGTGACTCGGTCGAAGGAGGAGGTGCGGTGAGCTGGGGTCCCTCTCAGGTGCAAACCGTCTCGTACAGCACATGCGCCTCTGCGCACACAGCGGACGGCCTGGGCCCGGTGCCGCTTCCTTCCGCGACTTGAGTGACTCTGTCTCACACGGTGAGGTCGCTACCCAGTCCTCTAACGGCCCCAGAGCCTGGGGTCCCGGGACGTGCCTTTTGCCTAATGACTGCCAGACTAGGGAGGGTCCTCACCCCCCAGACGGCGGGTCCTGGACGCCCCCACCTCCAGCTCTCGGGACTGGGGTCGCACGGGGCGGGGGTGAGGAATTCCGGAGGTGAGGACCTGGAGGGGTGCGCTGCCCATGGGCACCGGGTACAGGGGTGGGGGCGGGCAGCGGGCGCTGGGCGGCATATCTCCCTAATGCTAACTTTCTGTGGGGGGCAGGGGTGCAGACACTGTTCCCAGGAAGTTCAGGGTCTCGGAGCAGACTTGCCACTCCCTGTCCCCTCTAATCCCCTTCTCCCCTTCCCCCTCCACCTTCCTTCTGACCCCGCCCTCGGTCCTCTCTTCCATCCCTCCACCCTTCTACCTCTCCAATTCCTCCTCCAACCTTCCAATGCCCCACCCGTGTCCCCACCTGCGCCCACTCCCCCTCAGCTCCCCTGGCGTGGTTGCCTCTGGAAGCGCAGAGTTCCCGCCTCCCAGCCCGGTGCAGAGGCGGAGCAGAGTTGGGGCGGAGCTGAGCCCGGGGCGGGGCGGGGGCACCCCTCCTGCAGGGCGCAGGGCATAGGGCGGGGTCCAAGCTCACCCTGCGATGGCAGATGTCCCAGATTGCCCCAGCGAGCGGGCCCCAGCACCTGGCATACGCGCAGAGACTGAGCCTGGGCCACATCAGGTGCCGCCGCGCGCCGGGAGGGCTCTCCACTCAGCCGTGGACACCCCTCAATACCGCAGCAAGAAGGGGCCGTGGGCACACACCTGTGCCCTGTTCCAGACCCCAAGCCATTGTCCAGCCTGCGGCCAGTTCTCGTGCCGGGGACCCCTTGGTTCTGCATGCCCAGCACCATTTGGGCGTTAGGGTTAGCTGGGGTGTCAGGGGGTCCTGCAGGAGGGGAGCAGCGGAAGCTGCCTCTAAACAATGCTGGTACCTGGACAGGACGGGGAGACCTGAGGGCAGAAGACTCCCCTGGGAGCCGAGGCAGGTGGGGGTGCGCTGTGGGCTCAGGGCACCCCAATGGTAGCCTCTAAAATAGGGTGCTGGTACCTCTTGAGTGAGGCACCCTTGGAGTTGGGGTGCCCAGCCCCCATTCCAGAAGGACAATGATCCTGCGATATGAATCTTTCAAGACAGAGAAGTGGCATCCCATCTTCTGTCCAGCCAGGAATGGGGTGGGAACACATAGACCCGAGTCTTCCATTACATGAGTTAGGGGGTGATACTGGGAACTGAGGACACACTAGGGGCATCAGCCCCACCCACACCTCTTCCCAAGGGTGGGAGAACTCACTACGCCCAGTAAGAAGCCCGAGAGGCTGGACCCCAGGAGGCCAGGCAGGGCGGCCAGGCAGGGTGGCCAGGGTGTCAGTGCTGTCCTCTCTTACAGGGCAAGGTGAGGCCGCCGCCTCCTGCCCGCCCACCTACCCGCCCACCTGCCCTGTGACTCAGCACCCACTGCCCGCCCAGCAGGACTTTTGCCCCGTGCTGCCTAGAGCTCAGCAGCCTCCACTCAGCTTCTTCCTGGTCTCCCTGCAGCGCCTGCCAGGATGCTGGGAGCCGGGGCCTCCCCGGGCCAGGGCCAGCCCCCCAGCACCAAGGCTGCCCTGAGCAGGCGGGACGTCTTGCTGCTCACCTACGTGCTGGCTTCGCTGGAGCTCACATGCCTCTTCATGCAATTCTCCGTCATGCCGGTAAGTTCCCCAGTGGCCACTGCGACTCTGCCCTTCCTGCCCCATGTCTGCACAGGTGGGGGATCCATGCCACCAGGGGTCCGGTGTCTCCATGCAAGAAAAGGACCCAGGGTATGCCTCCTGGCCCCCGACAGCTCACACAGTCCAGAGAGCCCAGCAGAGTGGGGCAGCAGCCCTCCATGAGGCCATCCTATGTTTATCTTCCTTGGCTCCACCCCTTCAACCCACCTTGGAGCCCATGACTGGTGGAGCCTCTGCCTACCCACGCCTGGGGCCAGGCCTCCATAGGGACCTGTCAGTGGGCTGGCCTGACCCCTGCCTGGCACAGTGGCCCACCACACAACGTTCTCATTCCTGTTCTCCACGTCTCCCATGTGCGTGAGCTCCAAGGGACTGTGTTCTCTGAAGTCTCTTCCATCTGAGGCTGGATTCTTTAGACAGAAACCAACAATGTTCAGATTAGATAGCCGCATAGACACATAGATGCATAGATAAATGGAGACAGATAGATGGGTGGATAGAGATAGAGATGATAGATAGCTAGATAGATCTAGATAGCTACATAGCTAGATAGATCTAGATAGCTACATAGCTAGAT